TGGGCGATGAGCGAATTGTCGTCGCTCCGGCGAGGCTTATATCCCCCGCCGGGCGGAACTTAAATGCGAGTCCGCGTTTGTCGCGTCAGCCCCCTGGGGGCTCGACCGCGGCACTTGTATTCCACTTGTATTCCGGACCTCGTTGTGATTAGAGCTGGTCTCTGGTCTTTGGTCTCGGTCTCCGTGGCTTCCTTTAGGGTGTAGGCTGGCTTGAGGCGATCTACTGAGACGTGCACTGGTTTCTCTTTGATGTTTATTTTGAATGTCTTCTCGTCTCTTTGGAGCACTTCGTAAGGCCCGTCGTATAGTGCTTGCAGGACTTTGGACGGTGCGTCGCACCTTAGGAAGACCTTGGGTGTCTTCTCTAGGTCCTTGAAGACGAAGGTTGCCCCTTCTCCGTGCCTGCGTAGTCTCGGTTGTAAATGCTCCATGGCCTTTTTCAATGTGTTTAGGTATTCGTGTTCCTCTTGGCTCCGGCAGGTTTTGCCTGTCAGGAACTGTCCTGGTAGCCGTATGGCTTCCCCCAGGACTAGCTCCGCGGAGGTAGCCTGCAGGTCTTGCCTTGTCGCGGCTCGAATTCCCATCAGTATTACTGGGAGGACCTCTGTCCATCGCTCTGTCTGGTGGCTCTTGATGGCAGCCTTTATCTGTCGATGGAGGCGTTTTCTCATGCCGTTTGCCTGCGGATGGTATGCGGTTGTTCTCCAGTGGGTGGCTCCGATCAGTTGTGTTAGCCTTTTGAATAGGTCTGCCTCGAACTGACGACCCTGGTCGTCCGTGGTTATCCTTAGTGGGACGCCAAACCGTGCTATCCACATGCTGAATAACTGTTTCGCTATTGTTTCTGCTGTTATGTCGGCTACCAGTATTGCTTCGAGCCAGCGTGTGAAACGATCTATTATCGTCAGGCAATAGCGATAGCCTTCTGAACTCGGTAACGGACCGACGAGATCCACGTGGATATGTTCGAAACGTTGTTGGTCCCACTACGTTGTGGATCGGTGCCTTGTTGTGCCTTGTGATCTTGGCTTTTTGGCATTGGATGCATGTCTGTACCCAATGTCTGCAATCTTTTTTGATGTTTGGCCAGACGAATCGGCTTGCTACCAGCTTGGTTGTTGCCTTTATGCCTGGATGCGCCAATCGTGCAGCGATTCGTACTCTTGTCGGCGGAATTCCTGCGTAAGGTACGGTCGCGCTATCGCTGCGCTGGTGTCACAGTATACGGCTGCTTTGGTGCCGGGCACGGGTACCCTCTCCAGCCGGAATCCTTTCTTGGCTTCTAGCACTGTCTGCAGCTCGTTGTCGCTCTCTTGGGCCTTGGCTAAGTCCTTGAAATTGATTCCTTGTCGTATCTCTTCGATTCTGAACAAGGCGTCGGCTACTACATTATCCCTGCCTGCGATATAACGGATGTCAGTTGTGAACTGGCTTATGTATTCCAGGTGGCGTGCCTGCCTTGGCGAGCATTGTAGCGGATCCTGATCGAAGGCGTAGGTTAACGGTTTATGGTCCGTTAAGATGGTGAATGGCCGGCCTTCCAGCATGTGCCGGAAGTGTTTGACCGCTGAGTATACAGCCAGTAGTTCCCTGTCATAGGGGCTGTATTTTGTTTGTGCGTTGTTCAATTTTTTGCTTAGAAAGGCCAGTGGTTGCCAGGTCTGTCCTTTCTCTTATTGCAGTACTGCCCCTATTGCTACGTTTGACGCATCTGTTACCAGTCGCCACTCTGCTGTTGCGTCTGGGTGTGCTAGCAGAGTTGCTTGCGCCAGGCTTTCCTTTGTTTCGTTGTATGCTGTCTCTCGCTCAGGTGTCCACTCTACCGGCACGCTTCCCTTCTTATTGATGCCTTTTAGCGCCTCGTTTAGGGCTGCCTGAGTTTGGGCTGCTCCTGGTATGAACCTCCTGTAGAAGTTTGTCATCCCCAGGAATCGTCGTAGCTGCTTGACGGTTGTCGGCTTCGGGAAGTCTCGTATAGTGTGTATCTTGTGTTCCGGAGGTTTTGTCCTCTCGGCCGAGACTTCGTACCCTAGGAACGCTATTTTGCTTTCTCCCAGGACACACTTTGCTGGGTTGATTTTGATTCCGTGCCTTTCGAGTCTCTGGAATACCTCGTGCAGGTGCTGCCTATGTTCGTCTGAGATGCTATTAGGATATCGTCGATGTACACGTAACAGTACTCCAGGTCTTGGAGTACGCTGTTGACAAACCGTTGGAACGTCTGTGCCGCGTTCCGAAGTCCGAAAGGCATGTACTTAAATTCGAACATGCCGAACGGTGTCATGATTGCCGTTTTCGGTATGTCCGATGGATGTATCGGGATCTGGTAATAGGCCCTGACTAGATCGAGTGTGGAAAATACTGTCTTTCCCTGCAACGCGTGTGCGAAGTCCTCCAGGTGCGGTATGGGGTATCTGTCTGGTACTGTCCTGGCGTTTAGTTTGCGGTAGTCTCCACACGGTCGCCATGTTTGGTCCTTTTTGGGTACAAGGTGTAGTGGTGCTAACCACGGGCTCTTCGAAGGTTGTATGATTCCTTCTTTTAACATTAGGTCGAAATCGGTTTTGGCCGCTCTCAGCCTGTCAGGTGCCAGCCTGCGCGGTCGGCATGCTTCGGGCGGGCCAGGTGTTGTTTTTATGAAGTGTTGTGTTTCGTGTTTTACCTCGCGTTGTTGTCCTGAGATGTTCGTAAGACCCGGATATTTTGCTAATACCTCGTGGTACTTGGTTTGCGTGCCGATTGTTTTGACGGAAGGCGTTGCCGTGATGCTTGCGGTGCCTCTTGTTGTCAGGCCTGTTTTCCCGTCTATCAGTCTTTTCCTTTCCATGTCCGGCAAGAGACTGTAGTGTACCAGGAAGTCGGCTCCTAGTATCGGCTGCGTGGTATTAGCTACCGCGAATCTCCAAGGAAACGCTCTTCTAAGTCCAAGTTCTGGCTGGAGTGCCACGGTGCCGTACGTTGGTATCTTTTTTTCCATGTCCGGCAAGAGACTGTAGTGTACCAGGAAGTCGGCTCCTAGTATCGGCTGCGTGGTATTAGCTACCGCGAATCTCCAAGGAAACGCTCTTCTAAGTCCAAGTTCTGGCTGGAGTGCCACGGTGCCGTACGTTGGTATCAACGTACCATTGGCGGCGTACAATTGGTACGGGGTTGGTTTGAGGTTGCCCCTGTTACGTGTCGGAGGTACGATGCTTACATCTGATCCGATATCTACAAGGAATTTTTATTCTGTCACCTTGTCGGTGACGTGTAGGCGGCATAATCTTGGGCTGTTTTCAACGGCCGCCGTCATTGAGAGCCCTGGGGATTTTCCGCGCTCTTATCGTTTATAACAAATTGGCACGGTTTCTCGCACTTGTGTGCTTTTATCCCGAAGCGCCGGTGGTAGTAGCAAATCTGGTTGTGCCTCCTACCTCTAAGTCGGTTACGTGATCTGCTTCGGGATCTATTTTTCTCCCAGGCACTGGTCATTCTTTCCACCTTTGTTGTTAGGGCTGCTATTTGCTTCCGGAGTTCTTCCAGTGATTCTTCCCTCGGACTTGTCGGCTGTGGACCGGTAGTAGCTAGTACTGCGGTTTTACTACCGATCTCGTGTATTCTGTCGGCTTGCTCAGCTACGCTGTTGAGGTTATCTTCGCCTCGGGTTGCTAATATGGCTTGCGTCTGGGCTGGCAGGCGTCCTAGCCCCAGAGTGCGCAATAGTTTTTCGGAAACTGTAGTCCCGGCTAGAGTTGCCAGGTGCCTCAGAAACTGCGATAGTTTTCTGTCTCCCATCTCTTCAGTTTCCAGGAGTTGGCGTATTCTGTACTCCTGAGAGTCTGTCAGCCTCTGTATCAGTGCCTCCTTTAAGGCTTCGTATTTTCTGCTGCTTGGAGGGTTAATAATTATGTCCTTGACCTCCTTTGCTTGCTTCGGCTCTATCTTTGAGAGGGCGTGAATGTACCTCTCATGGTCGCTCCCTATCCGGCAAAGCTCGAACTGTCCTTCTATTTGTGCGAACCATAGTTCTGGTTCCTCTGGCCAGAATGGCGGAATCCGTATGGTTATTTTGCCCGTGTGCGGGCTCTCCTCGATTATTATCGACTTGTCTGTTTCCATCTTGGACGTCGGGGTCACCAGTTTTTGGCGAAGTTTGGAGGATGGTTAGATTTATAACGTGGCAGCGACCGTCGCCTCTCTGCCGTGTCGATAACTTAATCCTAGCAGGTTCTTTTGATAGAGGCGTTCGAAATAACGAGAGAGCGTATCCGGTAATATGTACAGTGTATTTACAGTCTTATGTACAGGCTATGTGGTTGGCCCTGAAAAGGGCCGATTGTGGTATTTTATGTGGCCCTGAAAAGGGCCGTTTAATACGGCTGCCGGCGGTGTAGATGCCCGCGGTGATATGGCTGCTGGTGTCGCCAGGCAGCAGGGCGACGTTGGTCGGCTGTCCCTGGCGCTCACGAGGATTCGCGGTGGCCGTGTGAGTCTCTGGCGTTACGGCGGCGGCTGCTGCTGCTGCGGC